GGAGCACAGGAGTGTTCTCCCCTAAATCATTGTCAATTTCTCCCAAATCCCTCTTGTATGTTCTGTTGGTCATGAGGGTTCTGTGTAGGAAGTTTGGCCCAATCCTATCATTGGTGGGGTTCAGAATGTTCTTGGATTGTAGGTGAACTATAAATCCCAGCAACTACAATTCCCAAATGTCAAGGTCTATTTTCCCCAAACACCACCAGTGTTCACATTTGGGCATATTGAGTATTTGTGCCAAGTTTGGTCCAAATCTATCATTGAATTCACAGTGCTTTCTGAATATAGGTGAAGTACAACTCCAAAACTCAAGGTCAATGTCCACCAAACCCTTCCAGCATTTTCTGTTGGTTGTGGGAGTTCTGTGTGCCAAGTTTGATTGAGTTCCATTGTTGGTGGAGTTCAGAATGTTCCCAGCAACTACAACTCCCAAACAACAAAATAAATCCCCCCCAACCCCACCAGTATTCATCATAATTGATGGACATGCAGTAGGAAGTTTCTGCCCAAGTAAATATAAACAAAGCTTTCACTCTGTGTTTTCAATTCAGTCGGATTGCCCATTTCTCCCTAACATGAACTAAGCATTCCAAAGAGCTTTTGTTCCAACTGTGGCTCGATTCAGACACAGGGTTTGCATAGGAGAGAAGTTCAATGCCTTTGGGATTCTCAGCCTGGATCTGATCAAGATGAATGTTTACATTAACATAGCACTTTCCCCAACTTTCAGAAAGCCAAGGGGTCTGTTGTGGATTCATGCTGCCTTGAGACATCACATTCTCGGGCCAAGGCCCAGCATTGCTTTTCCTCCTTACTATTATTTATTTATTTATTTACTCTATTTGTATCCTGTCTTTCTCTACCTCAAAGGGGACTCAAAACGGCTTTACATATGGCAACTGTTCTGCGCGACAAACTTCTTCCAGACTCCATTCTCTAGTTTCCACCTAGCTCCTGCAACTCCTTGCCTTATTGTGGCCTTAGTTTAGGAAATATGTGCTGCTATGTCCTCTTGGGGTCTGCTATGATTCCTCAAATTGATGTCATCTTCAGAATGGCATAGTGGAATGGAAACATGGAGGGGTTTTGCTGTGTATTTTGCTTTAGTTGCTTTGGGAGGGGGGGTATGTTGATTCTTCCTGACCTGCCCACCAGCAGGGCACTCAGATGACATCTCAGTTGGTATGAGAGAGGTGCCAAATGGAGCATAATGGAGCAGCCGCCTCCAGCAATTGTGTCAGCCAGAACACAATCGGGAAATGGAGCCAATCTGGCTTAGGCAACAGAGAGAGAACAGATCTGTTAAATGACAAGAGCCTCCTGTTTCAATTTCTGTGTGACAACTTAATTTGCCACACAAGAATTAACCCTCTATATACTTGCTGCATGGACCTATTTTCCTATCCTTTCTTTTTTCTTTTTTTAAACAACTGTCCAAACATGTCATAATTGATTTACAAATGGAGGAAGCCTGCTTGGTGGAATGGTTTATTGTTTCTTACCTATTCAGACTCCTTATTTCCTGACAGCTCAAAGATTAGTGGGGATTTTTGATACCAAGAATATTCTAGTGAATGCAAATGTTTGCTAGATCCAAATGAAAGTCCTGGTCTACACAGTTGGTAACAGAATTGGCAAAACTGCTGCTGGCTTCCATACCACAGATGACAAGTGTGGCACTTATGTATTGGAGAAAGAAAACTGCCTGAGCAGGGAGAGGACTAAGCCAGAACTGGCCATGCTGGCAGGAAGAGTTCCATCTCTGTTGTCTAAAACAGTAACTTTGAGAAGCTATGCCTGACACACAGTTTTCAAACTACAGTAGAGTCTCACTTATCCAACATAAACAGCCCAGCAGAACTTTGGATAAGCGAAAATGTTGGATAATAAGGAGGGATTAAGGAAAAGCCTATTAAACATCAAATTACATTGTGATTTACAACTTAAATCATGTTTCACAACAAATCAACAGAAAAAAGTTCAGTACATGGTAACGTTATGTAGTATTTATGAATCTAGTACCAATAATAATAATATTTATTTATTTATTTATTTGGTACACTTATATACCGCTAACTTCTCAGCCTGGATCGGCGACTCAGTTGCGGTTTACAGCATTTAAAATCAATCTCCAGTTTAAAAACATATACAAAATACAATTACAAATTACAATAGCAAATTATTGGGCCACCAATAATAATCCCATATGTCTCAAGTTGAAATCACAGTCCACAATTCGTTGTCCATATTTCTGTCCAAGGTCACCCAGATTCGAATCGGTTTCCACAGATTAGCCGAAGGCTTGTTTGAATAACCATGTTTTAAGTTTCTTCCTAAATGCCATCAGCGAAGAGGCTGATCGTATCTCTATAGGGAGGGCGTTCCAAAGCCGGGGGGCCACCACAGAGAAGGCCCTATCTCTCGTTCCCGCCAGCCGCACTTCTGAAGCTGGAGGGATAGAGAGAAGAGACTCTCCGGAAGATCTTAGGGTCCTGGTGGGCTGATAGGCTGAGATACGTTCGGATAGATAAGTTGGGCCAGAACCGTTTAGGGCTTTAAAGGCCAACGCCAGCACTTTGAATTGAGCCCGGTAGCATATCGGCAGCCAGTAATAGCACCAATAATTTAATAATAATGATAATAATAGCACCAATAATTTATTTATATTCTGCTCATACTAGTGTTTAGTTTAACGGTTTTTGTTATTGGAGTGCATTCCCCCCATAGGAAAGTTTTGCTCCACGACCTCCACTAAAACGAGCTCTCCTCCACAAAGAATCTGTCCTTGTTTATCTCGTGTTTATCTTGCCTGAGTTTTAAATCTACCCAATTTTCTTTTATCCATTACATGTAGCTCGCCCATGTTATCGTGATTGTGTTTATTGTAATTTTATATTGCTATGTTGTCTTTTGTTTTATGTAATTGCGTTATTATTGTTTATTATTTGCGTTTTCGGTTTTGTTTTATTTCATGTAATTATTATTTTGGGCTTGGCCTCATGTAAGCTGCACCGAGTCCCCATCGAGGAGATGGAGCGGGGTACAAATAAAGATTATTATTGTATTGTCGAAGGCTTTCATGGCCAGAATCACTCAGTTCTTGTGGGTTTTTTTCGGGCTATATGGCCATGTTCTAGAGGCATTTCTCCTGACGTTTTGCCTGCATCTATGGCAAGCTTCCTCAGAGGTTATTATTATTATTATTATTATCAAGATTATTATTATTATTATTATTATTATTATTATTATTTCCAAGGTACATAGCATCATGTACAGATGTTGGTTTCCAAATTCTCTGTACACAACAAATTATTTTAGTTAATGCTCTTGGCAAGGTTAATATGAGTTCTGTTGTTGACAACATGCTTTTTTCCCCTGTAGCTTTGTAGCAGATGCTAAAAATAATAAACCTTTAATATGTTTGACAGCACAATGACAACACAGGTAGTAGCAAACTAATATTCACAAGATTTAATCAGATTTTTAAATAATCTTTTCACTTCTTGTTCTCTAAACAATAACAGAGAACTGGATAGTCCCTTTTCAATTGTATAGAGAGTTGTGGCCCTTTCCCTATGGCCTTTCCCTATTGCATTCTGGGATTTTCCATGTTCACGTGGATGCCTCTTTTGTGCCAGATCTCTATGACAGTGTCTGAAGTTGAATGGGGAAAGATTCACAGAAGTGGGCGTTAAAATGCTATTTAATTGACATTCCAGCATAAAATCCCCCTCCTTAAGTCTGACATGGTACAGTGCAGGAAGAAATACTAGTGCATAATCCCAATGTATTTGTATAACTGGGTTGTTGTAGGTTTTTTCGGGCTATATGGCCATGTTCTAGAGGCATTCTCTCCTGACGTTTCGCCTGCATCTATGGCAAGTATCCTCAGAGGTAGTGAGGTCTGTTGGAACTAGGAAAATGGGTTTATATATCTGGAATGACCAGGGTGGGACAAATAACTCATGTCCGCTGGAACTAGGTGTGAATGTTTCAACTGACCACCTTGATTAGCAATTGATGGTCTGTCAGTGCCTGGGGCAATCTTTTATTGAGAGGTGATTAGATGTCCTTGATTGTTTCCTCTCTGTTGTTTTGCTGTTGCAATTTTAGAGTTTTTTAATACTGGGAGCGAGATTTTGTTCATTTTCATGGTTTCCTCCTTTCTGTTGAAGTTGTCCACATGCTTGTGGATTTCAATGGCTTCTCTGTGTAGTCTGACATGGTGGTTGTGAGAGTGGTCCAGCATTTCTGTGTTCTCAAATAATATGCTGTGTCCAGGTTGGTTCCAGGACAAAAGGGATCCTCTCACTGCTGCAGGAGTCTACCGTATACCATGCAGCTGTGGACAAGTCTACATAGGGGCCACCAAATGCAGCATTGCCCAAACATGAATCAGGGAACATGAAAGGCACGGCAGACTACTTCAACCAGAGAAGTCAGCCATAGCAGAGCACCTGATGAACCAACCTGGACACAACATATTATTTGAGAAATGCTGGACCACTCTAACAACCACCATGTCAGGAGAGAATGCCTCTAGAACATGGCCATATAGCCCAAAAAAACCCCCAAACCTACAACAACCCAGTGATTCCGGCCATGAAAGCCTTCGACAATATATTTGTATAACATTTCTTACACTGCAAAGAGAATGTGTTGCAGTCTTTAGCCTGTGGACTTAACAGTTTGGGTCAAGCAGGCCTTTGTGTATTTAGAGACAGAGAATGACCTTCTGAAAGTCACTTGGGAAAGAAATTGCACAACAAGAAATAATTGCTCCCAGACTGGTTCTGCCCTTAAAGCCATCATTCTCTCAGAAAAAAGGGGGATGTTGCACTGGAGACACTGCACTTCTGGCACTCTAAGGTCAAATAGGTGTGCTGGCTTGTTGGCACACAGCCATCCATCACAGCGAAAGGAAGCATCACTGGAGAAAATGCAATTCCAGGCATAGAAGTGTGGTCGCTAATAGATTGGCTATTGTCTCCTTACAGATCCTCCTCTCGTCAATTTGTCAGTGGAACCTCAACCTGTCCTTGAAGACAACACGGTGAAGTTTCATTGCTCTGCAAAAGCCAACCCTGCTGTCACTCAGTACAGGTAAGAGCATCCTTAAAAAACAATCCCATATAACTTCCAATGTTTTACTTTAAGCTACCTAAAGCTCAAAAACAGTCCACCACTGCTGTTACAATGTGGAGTCTCTTCACTTAATTGAATCAATCAGTTATGAGGGACCAACTCAGCCATTCTATAGATGTGGATATTAGGCAGTCACAGAAACGAAATCAACAGTTTCATCTCATATAGAAATGTCTAACTGGTGTGGCAGGGATAGAATGCCAGTCCTGATGAACCCAATACCAAACAGCTATGTTCTTGCTAGATATCATTTGAAAGTCAGGTCCCTGTAGAACAGTGTTTCTCAACCTTCCTAATGCCGCGACCCCTTTATACAGTTCCTCACGTTGTGGTGACCCCCAACCATAACCCTAACATTATGAATCGCCATGTAAATAATGATCTGCAGGATGTATTTCCATTCACTGGAGCAAATTTGGCACAAATACCCAGTATGCCCAAATTTGAATACTGGTGGGGTTGGTGGGGAAATTGCCTCTGTCATTTGGGAGTTGTAGTTGCTGGGATTTATAGTAAAGGTAAAGGTAGTCCCCTGACATTAAGTCCAGTCATGTCTGACTCTCCATTTCTAAGCCGAAGAGCCAGCGTTGTCCGTAGACACCTCCAAGGTCATGTGGCCGGCATGACTGCATGGAGCGCCGTTACCTTCCCGCCGGAGCGGTACCTATTGATCTACTCACATTTGCATGTTTTCGAACTGCTAGGTTGGCAGAAGCTAGGGCTGACAGCGGAAGCTCACGCCGCTCCCCGGAATCGAACCTGTGACCTTTCGATCAACAAGCTCAGCAGCTCAGTGCTTTAACCCACTGCGCCACCGGGGGCTCCGCTGGGATTTATAGTTAACATATAAAGAGCATTCTGAACCCTACCAACAATGGAATTGAACCAAAGTTGGCACTGAGAACTCCCATGATCAACACAAAATACTGGAAGGGTTTGGTGGGCATTGACCTTGAGTTTGGGAGTTGTAGTTCGCCTACATCCCGAGAGCACTGTGGGCTCAAACAGTAATGGATCTGGACCAAACTTGGCATGGATACTCAATATGCCCAAATGTGAACACTGATGGGGTTTGGGGAAAATAGACTTTGACATTTGGGAGTTGTAGATACTGGGATTTATAGTTCACCTACAATCAAGGAGCGTTCTGAACCACACCAATGATAGAATTGGGCCAAACTTCCCACACAGAACCCCCATGACCAACAGAATTTTTTTTCTGATGGTCTTTGGCGACCCCTCTGACACCCCTTTGTGACCCCCTCAGGGGTCCTGACCCCCAGGTTGAGAAACACTGCTGTAGAAGCAACACACCTTGACTACAATACAGACTTCTGAGTTCTGTCCCCAAGGCTGAGCCGATGAATCCAACAACAGGATTGCCAATAAGAAATCCTTTGTGTTGAAAATGTAGTTATATGGCAATAGGCATCAATTGCCTCAGTGCTGTGACCATTTGTGCATTTTGCCAAGCTGACACTGTCACACAGTCAGGCGCTTCTTCCCAATCCAGCAAGCAACAGCTGTTTAGAGAGCCCTGGCAGTGAACTCATGAAACCATCTGCTTGGGGATGCCTTTAACACAACACAGGCATGAATGAGCATTTTGTTGCACATAGCTTTGCTTGATTATTACACATTTCCCACACAATTGATTACCCTCTGAAACAGGCAGCTTCATTAGTTGGTTTGATTACAATTTTCTGTATTGCTTCTCATGTATGTATGACGGCCAATATACCTTTTCTGCTCTTGTCAGGCTGGAAATCCCATAGAGGCCAGCCATCGAACAGAAAGCGGAGTGTTAAGTGTTGGCTCACGTGTTACAATAATTATTTGAGTTGCAATATTTTATTATTAAAATATTAATTTACTGTACTTCAGCTATTTATTTATCGTGTCATCGGCAACCAGACTTTGTATTACATTTTCAACAAAAACAAACAAGCAGACAAAACACAGAATTTGCAAGCTTGGTAGTTGATTAAATGTCCTTTGACCAGTATCTGGCCACTTGGAGTGCCTCTGGTGTTGCTGCAAGAAGGTCCTCCCTTGTGCATGTAGCAGGGCTCAGGTTGCATTGCAGCAGGTGGTCTGTAGTTTGCTCTTCTCCACAATCGCATGTCATGGATTCCACTTTGTATCCCCATTTCTTAAGATTGGCTCTGCATCTCGTGGTGCCAGAGCGCAGTCTGTTCAGCTGAGAGAATAGAACACAATGAGCATGTGGTATGAGAGGAAAATTACAGTAGGTTCAAAGAACAGTTTTCTATCCCAGGATTTTTTAGTGGCCTCACAGACTGCCAACATTTCCAGGAAAAGAAAGATAAATGTGGCATTGAAAGTGACTGGAACTCTGCTTTTCAGAAATAGGTATTTGTTGAAAGAGAATCTGATGGGGTTGTGGATTGCCAAAAACAGCTTTGCAAGCAGTGCCTTTACCTACCTCTATAATATGTATAGAATTTTCCAACCTCTGTGAAAGTGCTCTACATTTTCAATTTCGGATTTGAGCTTGCATGGGATCATAGAATCATAGAGTTGGAAGAAACTTCATGGGCCATCCAGTCCAACCCCCTGCCAAGAAGCAGGAATATTGCATTCAAAGCACCCCTTACAGATGGCCATCCAGCCTCTGTTTAAAAGCTTCAAAGAAGGAGCATTCACCAGGACCGTAGCCAGAAATTTTTTTTGGGCAGGGTTGAAAATTTGGGGGGGGGGGGTTGAAAATTTCAGAGGGGGTTGAAACCTGCCTCCTAGTTCTGAAACAAAGAGCACAGCAGGGGGCAGAGCAACCTTCAATAGCCTGCAGCTCCGCTGCTGTCAACCACCTCCACCAAGTCTGCCCTCCTTAATGAGAGCATTCAACCCCCCCCCCCCCCAACTTGGTTGATTCGCTACATCGGCTATTGCTGCAAGTAATAACAATGTGAATAAACTGTCAATATTTGCTTGACATTGTGCTTGCAGTTCTGGAGGGACTCTTAATTTTTTGCAACTCATAGACTTAGCATGGGGATTTGGTTAACCAGTTAAAATTCATGAGTAAACCAGGTTTTTTTTTACCTGAAAAATTTGAACCCCTAACACACACACACAACCCCCCCCCCCCCCCCCCCCCCCCCCCCCCCCCCCCAAGCTACAGGCCTGGTCTCCACCACACTCCGGGGCAGAGAGTTCCACTGCTGAACGGCTCTCACAGTCAGGAAGTTCTTCCTAATGTTCAGATGGAATCTCCTTTCCTGTAGTTTGAAGCTATTGTTCCATTGTGTCCTAGTCTCCAGGGAAGCAGAAAACAAGCTTGCTCCCTCCTCCCTGTGACTTTCTCTCCCATATTTATACATGGCTATCATGTCTCCTCTCAGCCTTCTCTTCTTCAGGCTAAACATGCCCAGCTCTTTATGTCGCTCTTCATAGGGCTTGTTCTCCGGACCCTTGCTCATTTGATATACTCTGATCAGCTACAGATTGTTTTTTACTTTATTTTTTTTTTATTCAACTTGTATACTGCTACTCCCAATTTGGCTTGGAGCGGTTTACAGAAACAGATTAAAACAATACAATTAGCTTTAAAATGACAATAGGCAGCGAAAACAGGCACAGCCCGGATTGTTCACCCATCAAAAGCTTGTCAGAAAAGAAAAGTATTACAGGCTTTCCGAAAAGCAAGTAGGTCTCGGATGGTTCGAGTTTCAACTTATTTTGGACACTCTGGTGAAGAGTTGTTTTTTTAAAAAAAAACACACACACACTGTTTTGGGTCTAATGCATGCTTCAATGTGCATTGGAAGTATATGTTTTGTACCACTCTGACCTCCATCCAGCTTCAAGCTGCATTATATGATCTGTGTAGACGCACCTTCAGTCACTTTCCTTTTAATGCAGTGTTGACATCTTCTTAGTCCTTTGCCATTTGCAAATGAAGGAGCCTCCCTGAAATGGTTTGTGCTTGTATGTGCATCATGGCTGGGGTTCTTAATTTGAGTTTATCCAGGTGCATCAGAGCATTAAATCCAAAGGCCGTGCCTTATTAAAGAGCTGCACGAGCCACAAGCTGCATGATTTAAATCTTGTTCCTCTAACCCTTGCCCAAAATGCAGGTCATAAAAGGTCCTCCATCTGCACACATTGATGGAAGGGCTAATAAACTCATAAAGTTTTGATGCACATTGCATAGATAAGTGCTTTTTAATGTGTCCTCTCAGCTCTCCTTGAGGATTTTGGTCACAGAAAGACTAGCAAGCATTTATTTTTTGTGGGGGAGGTGTTCCAAATCTCTAATGAAGCAATTGGTAGTCAACTTTTTTCAGAAGAAACATCTGGTCAAAGAGCTTTATACTAAGAAACTGTGTTATCATCTGATGTCCACTATCAGGAACATTTGGGGATATAACTATGGTTTCTCTGTTTGAGGTATGTGCAGTGTATGACCCTTCAGATTTTGCTGGATGGCACGTCCCATAATGGATCACCATTGGCTGTACTAACTACAGGGGATAAGATGGATGGTTTAAATCCACGTATTACCATGAGACAGAATGAGGAACAAATTAATTTTAAATTAGAACAAAGGAAATAGAATCATACACACAATGGATGCTAATAATGCCCATGTAAGTGGAGCAGTTAATCTGATCCAGGTTTAAATTTGAACTTTAAAGGAACTAACTGAGATACTGAATCCAATCCTTCAAACACATGGAGCAACACATGGAGCAACTTTGAGGTTGGAGTGATTCATCTCCAGCCAAGGAATCACCTACCAGAGCTGTATACATATCTATCTTGTCAGGATTAAGCTGAAGCTTAATCCTGAAAAGACAGAGGTCCTCCTGGTCAGTCGTATGGCCGATTGAGGTATAGGGTGGCAACCTGTGCTCGATGGGGTTACTCTCCGCCAACTGGTCCGCAGTTGGGGGGTCTTCTTGGTCTCAGTGCTGACGCTTGATGTGCAAAGG